AAAAAAAAAAAAAGCGATTACCTTCTTGGCTAATCAAATATTAAAGCTCCTGAAGAGATTAGTCTTCAGTGCTGCAGACGTGAAAATGACTCTCATGCAGTCCCCTGGAGAGGTGGCGAAGCAAAGGGGAAGATGAGATTTTACATGGTTTTCACATAAAGAGGTTTCCAGCTTTGGGAGAAAGCAGCCCTGGAAGAACATGGCTGCCATTCCCATCTACTGCTTTTTAGGTACTTTGTGGCCTTCCTGCTGTGGTGCAGACCGGGGTCTATTTTAGGAACTGGCTTCTCTACTGTGGCTTAGATGCCAACACTTCACCAGGTTGGACTGTCTCAAATGAGTTTCTGGCACTGTTAGGAGGGATTTCCTTAAGTGATACACCAGGGAATGGGCATTTCAAGTGAAGAGAGGGTCCTCTGAGTCGGCTGCCAGCTCTAGAAGATTAATTGGCCATTTTCTCATGTGCTTTATGTGCAAGATATTTAATATGGGATGAAAAACGGAACATGAGGGAAAGCAGGTATTAGCTTGGTCTTAAGCAGGTGGTAATCCACAGATTTGCTTTTGTTTCGACAGTTTCTAAGCAGTGGAACAATTACCTAATAGTGTACCAGGTAATCTGTTAGGGTTGAAAACAGTAAGGGCGTTCATGTGCTCTAAGGCATTCTGGGCTGAAAACAACAATTTTGAATTCTCATGGCTGACCCAACTCCTAAGCCAGCTCTGCTCTGTCCTATCAGCTTTTGGTGGTGGTGCTGAAGGTTGTGTAGGCCTGCGGCCAGCACCAGCAGGCTGTCAGGGATGTACAAAAAGGAGAGAAAACAGCACAGCTGGGGTCCAGTTCCGGTTCTGGGTAGCAGGGACTGCTCATAGTTAGCAGGACCCTCTAACTGGGCATTGGTGGAAACAAAGACCTTTAGAACAGGGTCCAGAATTTCACCCCGACTCATGGCAGGTCTGACTCTGGGTGCCTGGGAGTTGGGGCAGGAAGTTCTGTACACAGACCAAACGTGCCTGAAGGGGAGGAGACGGCCCTGCACGTCAGCCTCCAGTGCAGAGCGCTGGGGTGGCTGCTGAGAGCTGGAATCACGGTACATTAATTATAGGGAAGGCAGAGCAAGCTTTGGTGGCTGGGAGCTGGGGCGGAGGGAAAAGGCACTTTGCCATCGGAGCACATCTGTTTTATAATAAGCAGGTCTGTAATTCTCTTGTGAAAGATCCTGTTCTCTCTTCTCCAAGGCTGGAAAATATAAATACTGTATTTCATGAAGGAGAGGAGGGAAGAAGAGACGACCAAATCTGTTTGCCTGTTTGCCAAGCACTTGTTTAAGATTGCCCCCCTTTTCTTTAGTGCACACGTTCTCTGTAACGAGAGTAGGGGAAAGGCAACCTGTTTTCCAAGAGTAAAGGCACGGTGAGGCGTCTCATGAATGGGCCTGTCAGGCCTTGGTTACAGCTCCTGTCGAATCAGAAAATCAATGCGTCTGTGGTGCCAAGCTCTTCAGTTGAAATGTGTGGTCTGGGGTCAAAGGGACCGGCGTGAGTTGAGAGGTGAAATGCTTATGCCTAACTTTCTGCACAAAAGTCTGAAACGTCACATCTCTACACGGACGGAGTATCATGAGTTGGGATCTGGGGGAGCATAGTGTGGGGGCAAGGAGCAGTGGGGTAAATGTACCGTGTCCTTTGGGAGCCACTGATTCTCCATCCTAAGAGTAGTGAAACTACTAAACCAGGAAGGCATTGAAGGCATCTGCTCAGTAGAAACACACAGAATCTTCTCATACAGTCCACTAAGAATTGCTTCAGTATAAGCTTATTTTTCTGTTCTGGGAAGAGATAAGGTGGAAGGAATGTGAGCCATGATCCCAGCCTCACCCCACCTGCCCTTTCCATCACAGCGGCTGCTATGCTGGCTCTTAAAAGGGGATTGCATGGGACAACATTACCCTGCTGAGGGTGAAGCAATTCATTATATTTCTTATTCCTATGATATTATTTTAGCACTTTTTTTTTTTACTTTAACGAGGCAATTATATATGTGTGTGTGTATATATATTTAAACAATATTAGGTTTAATTCATTAATTATATTTGTAAGTTTGGTATTTTCTTAATAGTCTAAAGTTGGTATTTTGGAGTTCCATGTTACTTTGATTTTTTAAACAATTAAAAAAATATGAAAGTAGAACTGGTTAAAATGACAAATTAAAGGTCAAAATGCAAGTGCAATGAAGAACAATGAGAAATAAAACATTTAAAATGAATTAGTAGGAATTGCCTACACAGGATTCTGTGAAAAGAAATTGAAGACTGTCTCTTGGAATGTATGCACTACATACTCTGCCTACCAGTCTACAAACCCAAACATTGAAAAACAATGCTAGGAAATTTCCTCAGGCCAGGACCATTAAACAATCATAAATATCACCACGAAACCCCTGGAAAACAGCTCTTAAGAGAGCCATGTTCGCAACCTGTCAATATGGTGGAGCGTCGCATCCTTGGGTGGGTGATGGGATTTGTACCAACAAAAAGGCTGCCGACATGTAGTTACTGGTCACTGAGTTCTCTTCTTTTCTCAGGAGGAACTTTCTTTGATGAACTCGCAAACCAGAACCAGCTCTCCTGGTAAATCAGGGCACGTGCTTCCTGTCCAAGGGTGCGTGCATTGCTGATTCCCAAGCCGCTTGGCTTAGAAACCACCTCTGCAGAAGAAACCGAGGGGAGAGACCCAGGGAAGGGTCCAGGAGGCATCTCCTATGTTGTGAAGATTTTCTTATGAAACAGATGATGATGGGCGCTTGTCTCAGGTACCTCATCCTCTGTGAAGGCTAAAAATAAATAACACAAAATAACCTGAAGTGCTGCTGTTCTGTAGGACATGTTTTCTCCTGGGTCCTGTTTAATAAAACAGCCCCCGAGAGCCAAAAAAAAAGTCTAAACTATAAAGCTTTGTGTGTAAACCACATTTTGCTAGGGAGCAAGCAGCTGAAATTCATGGCTAAGTATAATTCAGCTATTGGTAACTGTTTGAGCCACAGAGGCTGCATGGACCTTTTAGACAACGACTTTCTACAGAACATACGCACAGGACGTATAGGTATGCATGTGTGTACATATAAATGTATGTCTATATCTAGCTAAAGATGAGACATAACTCTTCTCCCAAAGGGGTCTAACTGGCTTGTTAGGGAGCCACTGGGGCTGACGGGTCATCCAGAGGTCAGTCCCTGGCCTCGGGCTCCTGCTGAGTCAGGTGTTCTGGTAGGACAGCTCAAACATGTTGCAAGCCTCCTCCAGGCTCTCATCCATATTCAGCCTCCGCCAGAAAGACTTCTGCTTCTTCTGCAGCTCTCGGCGGACACACCTCGGGCAGGGGACAGACTTTTCTTTGCATTCAGAATGGAAAACGGCTCCACAGCTTTCACACCTGCAAAAGCCAACCATGGACATGATGAGCAAGGTTGAAATGAACAAGACAAAAGCCTGCTGTCCAGTGGCCTCTGTGCAGCTAGGGGCACGACATTTTATTCCAGACAGTCCTGCCACTGCAAAGAGAAATGATTCATAGAAATGGGCTCTTCCCTTTTCTAAAGTGCTCAAGGTTGAATTTCACTTGAAAACATTTTTTTCTGATTAGCACTAGCTGAGGAGAGACTTATAACTTACGGGGGAAGGGAGCCAGCAGCCACTGAGCAGCTCTGGTCATGGTGACGACGGACGGACGGAGCTCTAGAAGCTCTGTTTCCTCTCTACTGAGAAAGAAGTGTGGGTGGTAAGTCCAGGGTGAGGCGACAGGAAGTGGGAGGGCAGTGCCCTGCCAGCAGAAAACACTGGGAGCGCTGGTGACAAGCCCAGCGCTAACCGCTGTGGAAACGCAGCTTTCCACTTGAGCTAACAGGAGCTAAGTGCTTCCCTGTTACTCTTTGCCTTTAACTGACTGTTTGGAAAGGTAAAATGACACATTTTCATTTTCTGAATGATATCCTGTGGTCTCTTGTTCTTTTGAGTTTCTTAAAAATTAGGAAAACTCCCCACCTTTATAAGTCTATCTTTATAACCCACGTGGGAACAGACAAGCATGAGAGAGTGGGGAAGAAAGTATATTTTTAAAACAACACACAGATCGTGTAATTTGTAGAGAGGAGACATTCCAGATGAGTGACTAGTTTGTTGTTTGGCTTGCTGGAAGCCTGTACAGGAGTCTAAATGGCTTGTTTTTACTGCAAAGTCTTTAATAACAAGTAACTGACAAGCACAACTGTAGCTGCTTCAGTGGGTGGCTTCCAATGTGGATTAAGTTCTCGTCCTTCCATACATGAGTGACAAGCGACTATTACCTCATCCCAGGAGCCCAGGGAATTGGGCCTGCATAATTTTGTTTCAACTAGCAAGATCCATGGAGGTCCAGCACTGGACCAGGTTCAAAGATGGCTACGAAGGAACCAGTCCTTGGGGCTCAGCCTTATGCTTCTTTTGCTTTTCCTAGAATATCTTGAGTTTCAGTCCTGGGCGTAGGATAGTTTTTGGGGCACCATTCCCTAGCCTACCACTGCCTCACCCCAGGCACCATTCAAGATTCAGAAAGTTTGGTCAAAGGAGGATCTTCCCATGCAGCCTCATACCCAGGAGAGAAGGCCCTGAATTGGAGGGAGAGACACTGGGGAAGGGGCTATATCTACCAGCAGAGAGACCGAAAGACAGAGGCTTCACTGCACCCAGCAGTCTATGCCCAGCTCAGTTCCCTGGGCCAAGGGTGGCGTAGCCGTGGTTAGAACAGCAGGCAGTGAGATGACCTGACTTCAGATCCCACTTTCAAATCACGTTCTGGCGGTATGACTGCTATGGACTGAATTGTGTCCCCCGCTAGATTCTTCTGTTGAAGGCTTAACCCCCAATTTCACTATATTTGGAGATAGGGTCTTTAGGAAGTAATTAAGGTTAAAGGAGGTCACAAGGGTGGGCCCTGATCTGATAGGTTTAGTGTCCTTATCAGAAGAGATGACAGAGAGCTCCTCTCTTTCTCCCCCACTGCATGTACTCAGAGGAAAGAAAGGCTGTGTAAAAACTGCAGCAAGAAGGCGGCTGTCTTTGAGCCAGGAAGAGAGCACTTCCCAGGACCGAAGCCCTGCTGGACCCCAGTCTGGGATTTCCAGCCTCCAGAACTATAAGAAATAGACACTTGCTGTCTAAGCCCCCAGTCTGTGGTATTTTGTATGACAGCCTGAGCACACTAAGACAAGGGCCTTGAGCAAGTTACTTCACCTCTCTGAGCTTCAATTGCCTTATCTGCTAAGTGGAGTTTCCATTAACATGCACCTCACAAAGGTGTTGTGAGGCTCAAATGAGATAATGGATAAAGCATTAGCACAGTTCCTGGCACACACTAAGTGCTCAGTAATACAGCTAAGACTGCTCCTTCCAGTGTAAGCAGCTGCCTGCTGCCTTTCTCCAAATCTTCACTTCAGCCTGATTTCACCTATGCCACCACGGTGACCGGAGGACATCTTGATCAACCCCCTCACTTCACACATAAGAAAACGAAGGTTCCGAGAGGGCTAGTGATTGCCTCCTGAGGACACAGTGAGTTAAAGACAGGGTTGTGACTAGAACCCCGGACTCCAGGCAGCCTTGCCAAGGCTCTTACTGTGGTGTGGTCGTCTGAGTGGGAGCAGCTCACGCCTTCGTGCAGGGAAAGTGCTCTAAAGAGCAGGTGAGCATGACACCATCTCTCATGGGGGCTCCAGTACCTGCCTTCTTGACACTGGAGCTACACTGGCCAGGGTAGTCGACATGGTAGGGCATCTGTAAGATCCCCATGCCCTCAGCTCCTCCTTCCAGTGGGGATGAAGGTCAGACCCAGGTCTCCTAGTGCCTCTCTGAGCTGGATCCTCCCCAGTGGCAGTGGCTTTGTCCCAGCTGGGTCACACCTCTGTAACCTCCTATCACTAAGGTGACACGTGGCTTTATCAAATAAATTTCCTCCTTCTTGCCTGCTTTGCCCTGCTGAGTTAGTCAGTGATTTATACAGCCAGGGATGTTGCCCTGGGCAGTGGCTGATAAGCAGAAAACCACTGGCTTCCTTCAGGACCACTCCCTTATCTCTGCTGATACCAGTCTCCCCAGGTGAGTGAGGAGGTTGAGTCTTATCGGATATTTCTGGTGCAACAATCACCCATGGGGTGAAGGAGGGACTGAGGACACCTGTTCTTTCCAGCCAAAGGTCAGCAACTGAAAAAACTCTGAGATAAAAAATTAATGATTTAAAAATAGAAGCAAGTCCTATATTCTAATAATTTGTAATCCAGCAGGTATCTTTTGAACTTGTGTAATGGATAGACTGATCAATGACCTTACCAAATTCAGAGAATCTATTGTTAATTTTCCCCCTGGTTTTTTCTTTAAAGGAAAAGCAGGAAGAGAAATTGTTTCCTACATAAAAGTTATGGAGCTCTGTAATAAAAATGTAATGTGCAGTAAAAAGAAAGTATTTACATTAAAAAATGCAATATATAGGTATGCTCCTTTTTGAGAATAGGACTTTATTAAAAAGGACCTTTCACTTTAAAAAGATTCACTGGCTCCTTAGAGTTTGCTGAATTTTCTGACTATATTTAAAATATGATTTAACAAACACAACTTCTCAGGAAGATGTCTTTTATATAAGGCAAATCTACCAGTGTAATCATCTGTGCAGAACACTGCACCACGTAATGAAACAGGGGTGTCCATTCGGTGTTCCTGAGTGATGAATCAAATGACAGCCAGCATCTTCATTTCTGAGTCAGTCACCCAGGCCCAGCAATTAGCAGCTCATGGCTTTTTGGTTGTTGCTGTACACCACAGAGAACAAAGACTGCATGTCCTCCCTGCCTGGTGTCATGGAGAATGCAACTGCATGGAGATGTATTTGTTATTGACCAAAGCCATCCATTGGGTTTTTCCTGAAAACATCCATTGCTTCACTTAATCCAGGGATCTCAACCTCGGCACTATTGACATTTTGAGCCAGATAGTTCTTTGTTGTAGGGGGTTGTCCTGTGCACTGTAGGATGTTTGGCAGCATCCCTGTCCTCTACCCACTAGATGGTAGTAGCAACCTCCCCGGCCCCCCAAGTTGTGACAACCAACAATATCTCCAGATATTGCCAAATGTCCAAATGTCCCCTGGGAGTTGGGCAGGGAGATCTTCCCAGCTGAGAACCATTGACCTATCTGGAGAAGGCATCATAAAGGGGAACCCAGGGAGCACTTAAATAGCGCCCTCTCCAGGTCGGATTTGCAAGTGTCACCTTCTGGCTTATACCAAGCAATAAGGTCTAGCATAGTGTACTTATGGATATCATTTTCACAGATATATATTTTTAATACACAATTTGATTAAAATAGCTGAAACTCACTAGCACTGACTGTCCTGTGGCTTCTAAAGTTAATTTAGAACATCATTTAAGAAGCCAATGCACATGACTCAATCTGTGCAATGCTTAGTAAGCCTTAACTTTCTATCAACTCACTCCCACTCTTCAGTCGTCCCCAAAAGCCATCTTGATGGTTGGCCCTCAGTTGCATTTATTTGCTCCTTGGCCAAGAACCTCTGGGCTTTTTCTCTGTTTCTCTGTTCTTTGCCTCTTCATACCCTATGTAGGCCATCTTGTGACTCAAAACCAAAATTGTTTGTATTTGCTCCATAAAATAAATCGCTTTTACTAAACTGTGAAGCAATTAGATTTAAGCAACTGCTGCAATGAAAAGGAGACCAGTAAATATCAGTGAGGCCACTTACTGCAGAGGGGAGAGCTTACCTAGAGTGAGGAACCCTGAGTTCTTAGTCCGGGTTGGCCCTAGTATCACTGGGGTCTTGGCTAAGTTACTTCATCTCTGAACCTTGCTCTCCACAGAGGTAAAAGAGAAGGTTGGATTAGATGGTATCTAAAGTTCCTTACAACTTGCAGATTTTGTGCAGGGGGAAAAAGGCTACTCTGGATTTTATCCTCTTCTTTGCAAATTTTCTTGCCCCAAGGTCTGTGGATGAATGAGTGGGAATGTAGCCTTGCTGGCCCCTCTTTGGAAAGTCTCAGACTGACAAGCTGGGACCGAATGAGATGAGCCTTAAAGTGGAGAGCATTACTTTACATTTTATTTGCATTGATTTGCATTGATTAATCAAGCTATGAAATAGCTTATATGAACTAGTATATACAGCTCTGATTATCAGAAATCTGGCCAAAAGGAGCTGATTCTGCCTCTATATCATAAAATTTCAATTAAACATTAAAGATTCCTTTCTAAGCCTTCTCCCAACCCTTACCAGCATTCCCTCTCCCCAAGAAGAAAACTAGAATTGTTAAACGTTCTGGGTGTTTTGTTTTTTGGGGGTAGGGGCTGGCTAGAGGCAGCAGTCATTTACCACCCTGTATGGAAGTATTTCTGTGTTTTCATCATTGGCACAGCCACATTGGAGTGAACCAGGTGCATATCAGCACTGGATGCACAGTAGAATGTGGGACAAGGAAGGAAGAACTCAAGTTCTGCTTCTGCAGACACTCTAGGGGGCAGTGCCCTTAATTATCCATGTGTGCCCTGGCAAACTGGGCCCCTTCCTTGGGGTCAGGGCAGGGGAACATCTCCACCATTTGGGGGCAACACATATCTCATTCTGTCTTAGTAAAGGTACCATAGAATGAGACTATGTGTTTTATGAACAGTCTTGGACCTAAAAATTAGCTTACTGACCTACGGCAAGTGAAGGAGAGGTCATAACTTAGAAATCTAATAGTTAATTGCCAAGAGATTGGACAGACACAATTAGTTCTTATTACAGCTATCAAAACCAAGAAAACTAGTCTGCTACGAACTAACAGAACTAAACATATGTAGGGAAAAAGGTTTGCTTTTCAAATATTATGGCAAAGAAACAAGAATTCCTGGCTGCAGACAGTATCCTGTTCTGGAATGCTGATGATGTGAGACCAATTCCAGACAGGCTCGACGGCTTTGTCTGCGTCCTTCCAGATTCTAGCTGCACACAGGGAGATCACAGGAAGCTGCTAAAGGCCCCTGCCCCAAGTTGAGGTCACTGAAATGCTTCTGCTCTGCTCATGTTGGGTTCTTCTCCTGCTGCATTTTTATTTTTGGCTCAGGCGATGACCTCAGATACTTCACTAGGATTGAAATTCAGGCTTGAATTTGGTTGGATCTCTGACAAGCGAAAGGACAGACCCACAGAGCAGGGCAGAACTTTGGTGATTCCACTCTGCAGAGCCCACAATGAACAGGGTGGGTGCAGAAATAAGTGCATGTTATCAATCACGCGAGAGCCGTTTGCTGCACGGCTACTATGTCAAGGGCCCCACAGGGCCTCTAGCTATTATTGGCTTTTCCAAGAAACCAAGACGACGATTTAAATCTCTCAGCTAAGGGAGTAGTTGTTGCTGCCTGATTGTTTTCATGTTTTAATAATTTTATTTATTTTTTTTTCCCCCAAAGCCCCAGTAGATAGTTGTATGTTGTAGCTGCACATCCTTCTAGTTGCTGTATGTGGGACACGGCCTCAGCATGGCGGGAGAAGCGGTGGGTCGGTGCACGCCCGGGATCCGAACCCGGGCCGCCAGCAGCAGAGCGTACGCACTTAACCGCTAAGCCACGGGGCTGGCCCCTGTTTTCATGTTTTATATTGGTGTTTTCTTCTGTTATTGTGTAACTAAACGGATATTAGCAAACAACTTATCATTTGCTTAAACGGGAAATCAGCAATGTTACTTGTGCTTGCATGTGTGCTATGTATGTACCTACACCCGTATGAGTGCTGTTTACAAGAATACACAGAACATGTTACTGAACATGCTGAGGTAAAATGAATTAAACATGATTTAAACAAATGCTGCAATCTAACATTCATTCTTTTGTGGGAAACAGGAGGGTTAAATTAAAGAGATGTTAGCACACAATTTCAGTAGGAAATGATTGTGGTTGGTGCTGCTGGCTGAGGAGAGTCCAGGTTTCATAGCCGCCGCCTGGAGCACCACCTCCAGTCAGCCTTGTGCCATAACTGCCAGAGAACCCCTCTCCAGATCTCCTCTATTCTGCTCAGGAGAGCAGGTGGGATGGGGAGGAGAAGAGCAAAGGGTCTGGAAACGTTAGATTACAGAACCATCGGGCTCTTTGCAGATGAGGAATGGACCACATTTGGGCCTGTCACATTTGGGATTGTTCATTGTGATTTCTTTTTCTTTATTTGGCTGGGGATAGGGAGGTGTGGGTGGCTAGAAAGGCGTCCATATGGTTTGACTGGAATTGTATGAGACTGGAAAGGATCCAGCTCCTTTGGCCAAATGTCTGGCAGATTTAGGCATGTATACGCTAGTTTGTAAAGCTATTCCAATAGTTCTGAACAGTAAATGCAAATACAGTAAGATCAATATTAGACATTTAAATCAGGCAACATCAGTATGGCCCTTTGCCTGTTTTTACATAAATTATCCTTATAATAACTCTCAGAGCTAGGTACTATTTGTTTTTCCATTTTTAATGTTAGTCAGTAAATAAATAAAATGAAATGAAATGAAATAATAAAATAACTGGTGCTTATTTAGTCCCAGAACTAGTAAGTGGGTGATCAGCTCTGGACTTGACTCCCCTCTTCTGACTTGAAATCTGGCCTCCTTCCCCTGGTCCTAGCCTCATGGTCCTGGTACGTTATTCAACACATCCCCAAATACCTGCTAAGACCCAAATCTGGGAAGAACAATTGGAATGCCCTGCAACGATCTTTTTATTTACCTTTTAATCCCCAGCATTAATTAAGGAAGGGTTTTTCCTGATTGCAGCCCACAAGGTTATTTGGCTTTCACAAGTCTTGCTACACTCTGAGTTTGTGAACCAGGCTCAGCTAATACCTTTGATAAAGCTTTACTTAAAATCTTGGCTTTGAAATAGAATGTAAACAAGGGTTAATTAATTCACTTGTTAATTTTGCTATCCTACCGGGGACAGTAACTCACCGCTATAGTGCAAATGTTTAATAAACGCTTCTTGCTAATCTGTGGATGGTGACAGAACTTCTCAGTAATACTGTATGTACATATACATACAGTATTATGTATGTATGTATGTATGTATGTATGTACATATACATACATACAAAATTGTAATAGATTTGACCTGAATGAAACAGTTTTTTAGGGATAGGGAAAAACTGATATTTCTGACACTTGTAAGTTTTTTTTTTTATTGTTCACTTGGCATTTAATATAATTCTTAATATAATTCATAATATAGTTCAACAAACAAATGTCCATCTCTTCTTGGGATTACTTTAGGAAAATCTTGTTTAATGATAGAGAAAGTAAAGAAACTGCAGGAGGATTTAAAAATTTTCTACGATTTCTGGAAAAAGCAAGAATATGTTATGATTGTAGACATTAGAGAACCATAAATAAGAGCAATGGCTTTCTGTAAAAATTTCTAAAGTAGTTGAAAACACCTAAGAGCCCATGAAATGTTTAGAAATGTCTTGCTACATCTAAGACAAAGGCAGTGACTATTAAGAATATTATTAGGCCAATGTGGATAAAAAAAAAAATAGTCTTGGCTTATATATGGACTCCCACTGATTCACCAGTCTATCTTTTTCATGTAAAACTGAGAAATGTAACTGTCAAGTTTTTGAAGTAAGCCTCTTTAAAAGAAATATTATGAGGATGGTATGTATCTAAGACTCTGAATGGGACTTACTTCTATTTAACATACTACACTTTAGTTCCTTAAGTACTAAGACACTTAATGGAGCCAAATAAAAGAAATTTTCAAGCATGGGTACATTAGAAAAATGCAGAAAAGTTCAGAAGGTAAACCATATCTAATTTATGAACAGCATGATTAGTTGCTTACAAATAAGTTAGTGATATAAATTTAGAAGGAGAAAGGCATTCAAATAAAAGACCCAAAATGTTTGTCATTATTTTAGACTGTTCTCCTAATTATCTCCTTCACCAGTGCAACTCTCTTAACAAGATGGTATTACATAATTTTCTAATACTCAATGTGTTCCAGGCCAGTGGTTTTCAAAGTGTGGTCCTTGGACCAGCCGAACCAGTGTCACCAGAGAATTTGTTAGAAACGCAAAGGATTGGGTCCCACTCCAGACTTACTGAATTGTAAACTCTAGAGTAGGGCCTGCCAATCTATGTTTTAACAAGGCCTTCAGAGAATTCTGATGAATATAAAAGCTTGAAAACCAGTGCTCTAGGCCAATCATTTCCAAAGACAGCAGGGCTGTTTTAAATATTTAGAACAAAAATCCAAACTAATAGGAAGTGATATTAACAATTGTTTTTATATAGGGTTTTATACTTCATATCTGTTCATATTTTCTCATAGGTGATATTTAAGAACCTCAATTTATTTTGCTTTCTTTAATTACGAGTAATATGGAGTTGTTCATGTATTTATTGTTCATGTAAAAACATCTGCATATTTTTCAGTAAATTGGTTCATGTCCTTTGCCCATTTTCTAATGACTTTTATAGATTTTTTACATTCAGGAAATTAATACTTTGTCACATGTTGAAACTATTTCTCCAAGTTCCTGTTTACATTTATTTGCCTTTATCTATAGAATTGTAAGCATTTTTAATGTATTTAAAGGCATTTTGCTTCCATGGCTTCTGGGTTTGTGTCAAGCTTAGAGAGACCTTCCCCACTTTAAGATTATATAAATATTCACCCATCTTTTCTTCTAGTGCTTTATGGGTTTATTTTTTCCATTAAAATACTTAACCCATCTGGAATTTATCTTGAGGTACGGAGGATGGTAAAATCCAGCATTATTTTCCTTTCTCCAAATGGCTGTCTCCTTCCCAATTCCTTTTATAGAATGACCCATCTTTTGTTGCACTAATTTGCGTGCCACCTTTATCATGTACTAAATTCCCATATGACTTGGGTCTATTTCTGTACCTTCTGAAATGGTGTTCCATCGTCTGTTCCTATGCCAGCACTATACTGTGTATTTTTTAATACATTTTTATATCTGGTAGAAAACAGTCTCCTTTCAGGTAAACAACGTTAGAGGTCAAGTTCTGTACTGAATATATTAGGAAAATTTATGGGGTGACATCTTTATGTTAAGTGAAAAAAATTTTGGAATATATATAATCAATGATTAATTTAAAAAATGTATATTATAGTTTTATTTATTTATTTAAAATGAGATGCACCTGTATAAACATCTCAGGTGGTCAAGGACTAATCCTGGCTTTAGATATTTGACATTCTGAACATCTAAGATTTTTTTCATCTTTATATAGTGATAAAGGTATTGTACAAATTTGGTAGGTTAAACTAATAGACTGATTGTTTACATGTTTATACAATTAGGAAACATGGTTCAATTGTTGAATAATGTATAAACTTTTAATAAGTAAAATTATCCTACTTTGCATGAACCAAGCATGTATTATTTTGGAAAATACTACAATCATGCTTAAAACCTGGTGTAGAGGAACACCGAGTGAGGGAAGAAGATGTGAACAAGACCTGTTGGAGCAGCCCCTGTTTTCAGTGAGAACATTACTTGGAACTTTTGTTTCCACTCTGCATATTAGTAAAAGCTGATGGAACTGATAATCACAGTAGTAAAAGTAGTTATGCTATGTCCAGAAGCAATAAACAGACATGTAAGACACTTGAAAGTTACTGAAAATCGTATTTCTTTGAACACCACGTGTATTCATAAGATAGGAATTGGGTAGAAAAGGCTAGAGGTGGTAGTCTGTCAGCAAAGGAAACTCTCAACGGCAACGCCACAGCCACTCACCGGGGGAAGCCCGTGGAGCCCTTAGCTTAGGTCTGGTGAGCCACGTGCTGTGCTAACTAATAACTAAGCCTTTCCTCTTTCGTAGTCTCTGAGCGTGGCCTGGGTGAGCTCTCTAGACCCGTCAGGGAGAGAAACTGAGGTAAGAAACTCAGGGGTAGGGTTAGGCGGGAGAAGAAGGGTGAAGTGCTGCTCTCAGGTACTTTCCAAGTATTAAGGTTCCCCCGAGTAGGTCTCTCTCTTTTAAACAGTGTACCTTAAGTACCTCTCAGGGAAGCCAGGGGAAGGGCAAGTCATCTTTTTTGCTTGCTGCTTTGACATCACATCATTTCTGTCTCCAAATCCCTGGCCTCGTGCCTCTTTCAGGCATTACCTGGAAACCACACTCTCCTCTCAAGTTAACTCAGGCCCCACTATCCCCCATTCCACCCTGCCCCCCACGCCTTCCCCACTGCCAAGGAAAGTTTGCTTGTTTCTTTTCATTCTCAATTCTGAAATTTTTCTTTCAAATCATTGATGTAAGCTACTTTCCAGCTAAATTTTTTAATTTAAATTTCCTTTCTCTCCACCATTAAGGATTCTCTTTCTAGAAAAAAAGTGTTAACTCTCCTCTTAAAGAATGGTTTTAAGATACTTCAACCTCCCAACTCTCAAGGCCAAACCGGATCTCTCAGTTAAAGTTAAACCAGTTCAAGTTGGTGGCTTCCGATGTCCTCAATGCAGTCTTTAAATCAGCCACTGGTTCATTATTTGCAAGTTAATCTATTATGTTATTGGTTTTATAAAAGGAAATTCCCCCATTTCTGTTTTTCACATGAATTACTACATTTTTAATACTATCTTTC